GGTGTGCAAAACTTTTCAAATATTCAGCAGTTTACTAGAGTTATTGGAGGTATTTTATTTGAACGTACCTGTACTGTTTTGAAGGTCATACAACTGCTGTAATAAATAATAGTTAAAGATGCATTGTGTAACTTTTTTGATGGAGCATCTGCCAGCTGCTACTCTTAGAATGTTTCACAGTAGAGCTTTATCTATCTCTGTGAAGAAAAGCAGGTGATGAAACCAGGAAAATTTACAGGTCAGATCTAAATCAATTTTTTTCAAATATTTTTAACTAATAAAAACACCTGTTGGCAACATAGATACATTTAATGCCATGGATGAATATATAAACTTTTCCAGGCATAACCTTATTTAATTTAGGTTTCAGACAAGAGATGTTATTTAAATTCCACAAAATGATATTATCACATATTCACGGCATTGTATTTTTTCCAATTATGTGAGGAAATTAACAATATATGGTAGTATCATCACTTTCATATGAGATAAGTAAATAATACTGTCTTCCTGTTGGCTGCACGAAAAGCAAGAGCAAAGGATTGTGGTCTGTGTAGTTTTCATGCCATTGCAACCACTAATGCATTTAAGCAGAAGCAACTCTATAATAATAGTGTGTGTGTGTATCATGGTTGTTTACGTATCTGCTTTAGACCAGAGCAAGAAGTACTCAAACACATATTTGGATGAGAATATTGAGAGGCTGTGTGGGTGTGTGGGAACCTTTTTGTTGTGTTCAGGCAGAATACAGAAGAAGCATGGAGTTAAAAATAGTAGCTCTTCTGTTCAATTGTACTTGTATTAGCGGTCAATGTTTTCTCCTCTAAATGACTCTGTTCTCTTGGTCAATCTGCTTTCTCATTCTTGTCAGGTCTAGAATGAGAAAAGCAGAAATACTCAAATGTACACACTAGTGATGGGAGATAATATGAAAACGTGATTCATTCCAGCAAGTTTATTTGAAGAGGTTGCTCGGTCTAAAGGCGCACTGTGCAACTTTCTAGCTGAGAGTCCAGCACCTACTTGTCTTCAGTGTTATTACTTTGTTTAGAGTGTCCCACAGTAGAGCAATAAACTCATCAATTTCCATGGAGACAAGCCCACAATGCCTCCAGGCCAAGTTGGAGGTCAGATCTGTGGAGAGAGGAGCTCACTCACTGTAGGAATGCATGTTTTCCGCAGTATTTTTGAGCATAAACACAAATTGTAATTGAATAAATGCTACACAGATGAGTTTAATGCTGCAGTGAAACCTTTCTCGGACTGCAATAGTATTTCCATGGAAACAAAAAAATAAACTTCAGTCAGTGTAGCTAATAAGTAGAGATAAACGCTATGACTTTTTGACATACTCCTTACCCTCACTGCTCTTTTTCCTTAGGTGACTTTGAAGACAAGGACCTCTGAAATCCTCACCACGTGCCGAGGATGGTCCCCGGGCCGCACTTTAGACACGGTAAAGCCTGGTGCAAAGGTGAATGGAGAGAACAAAAAGGAGTTGGTGTGCCAGAGGAAGGAGAGGAGGCACAGAGAGGCGAGGGCAATGAGCTGGATTCAATGCCATCTGACAGGTCCAGCTGGGAGCGTGCCCACCCTGCAGCACCGCAAAACCCCTCAATATGGACGCCAATTACTGCTGCCCGCGCGACCGTGACATGGCGACATCACCGGACCTCCTCTCTCTCTCTCTTTCTCTCCCTCTGTCTCCGCCATCTTCTCTCAAACCCTCCCTACAAACTTAGAAATAAATAAATATAGATCAAATTTTCCCACCATCTGTGCGAGAGTGACAGCAACCTATTTACCCTACCATGCAAAACACATACACAAGCAATGGGGCCAATATAGGAAATAAAGGACTTCATTGTCAGACTTGGATGGCATTGTCAGATATTTGGATGGCATGAAATAGAAGGCTACAAGCATAGGCTATTGTTCGACAGATGCGGAGGAATTTGGTCCATGTCTTTATGCAGAGTTGGGCGTGGTGTATTGGAGTTGGCAGTGTTAGAAAGAGAGACAGCAGCATGGCACACAGGAAGTAAACTGGCATCCTCCGCACAACGCTGCTGCAGAGGAGGTGGGCCCAAATTTAGCAAAATCGGCTTTGATATTTCCGTACGTGTGTTGTCTTTAATGATCACAAGCAAAGCCCAAATGAAAATGAAAGTAACATCTGAGTGTAGTTTGGAGACTGGCTGACAGCACAATAGAGCCAAAATGGACAATGAATAATAGAAATGAGCAAATAAAACGCAAACTGTTTCAGTGCTGACTCAAATAATTTAAGAGAAAGGAAGTCTAAAAAGTAAAGTGTTTTTGTATTCTCTGTTATTGACTTGCACCTGATTAATAAGAGAAAACATTGTAAAGTTTTACCTCTTTTAATCTCTTGGTGTCATATAATTCATAGACTAATATGACCTTCTTTTGTGTACATTCTCCCAAATTAAACTAATAATGTAACCTAATTTATATGTTTCTTCTCTGATATTTCCACAACATAGCCAAGTTGAATGTTCAAATCTGTATTCTCTATAAGATCTAGCCAATAATATAACTGTTCAGATTTCCTCTTCAAGTGCCCATGTAATTATTTTAAATGAATAATGTGAAATTATGTTGTTCAGTTAATCCACAAATAATTAATCCCATAAATGTTTTCTCAGATTAGAGACACTACAACTGTCCAGATGGTGAGAGGGATTTCGGCCTGGCTCCATGGGGCCTTATGGCACTTGTTGTGTGTGCAACATTAGTGGATCATTTCATTATTTGTACTGCAGTGTGGACGCCATGCTGGATTATTTTATTGCCACGTTTTTTCATAAACATCTATTTAATAATTATAGGTTTAAAATTAATAAATTACTTTTCTGCAGTTACTTGGTTCTCTATGCAGATAATAATAATAATAATAATAATAATAATAATAATAATAATAATAATAATAATAATAATAATAATAATAATAATAAATGCTTCTTGAATTAATATTTTAATTTAAATATAAGATGCCCAATATTTTGTGGGAGATGCAAAGCTTTTACAATCGGTCGCTGGACATTGAGTTTTCTAACCGCGCGGTGTAATGAACAGATGCTGGGTGAATTAGGAAAGAAATACCGGGTCCCTCCCACAAGGGCCACTTTGGCAGGGGCCGCCTGGCTCCACGTGCCGCAGCTGGCACCGGGCTCGCGCTGCAGGTTGCGCTCGTGCTGCGTTATGGCTCTGTGCTTATAGGAGCTTTAGCTCTAAGTCTGTATAGGCTCTCCACGTTTAGTGACTTGGCACGGCCCCTTGTCCTTCACCTACGGGTCTTCTGTCGCGGGACATGCTGGGAAGGTCACGGATAAATCTAATTCTCTTTTAATAGGGCTGGAATTGATACCCGCACAAGTATGTCTACCAACAGCCAAAATATAACACAGATGTGCATTATAAAATCTTATCAATGCTATTTAGAAACTCTGCTTTTATCCTTCATAAACTCAACTAATTTGCTGATGACACTTAAATGCAAAGCCTAAAAAGGCAAGGGTGACTGCACATTTTGGTAGTCATGCAGGTAATTATTATTAGACTATTCTTTTGTCTTCTCAACTTTGACTTCCGAACTTTACATTTAAATATTTCCAGCAGCAAACAATTCATCCAATTCATTGCGCACACACAATCTTCTAAAAATTCTCTACCATTCAGAAGAGTCAAATAGTGTCAAGCTTTGTTAAATGTAAATCAAGATTTGTTTTATTTTGAACACCTTTTTGAACCTTCGGTTCTTTTTGGCTTTCGTTTGAAACTGTTACAATAAACAAGTTAAACGTCTGCTCAAAACAGGGGGTGGATTCTTATTATTAGCCTACTATTTTTTATGATAGCCTAAACACCATTATAGCCATCATATATTATTTATTTACATTAAATGTGTTTACATTTCCTGTGTCTCCCATAGCATTCTGCTCCAGGACCCTGAAAAACGTCCAGACGCGCAGACGCCGGTGTGTCCGTGCGCTGGAGCATATGGGCCCAGGGCAGGGGTCCAAAGTGTGGTCTCAGAAACAACCACCGGCATCATCATTTTATTTATTCAAATTACACAGCTTTTTGTATCAAGAGGCTGTTTAGATCAAATACACTAGATTGGTATAAAACTTTTTAGTGCCAAATGTTCATGATCTTTGCAGTGGGGCATCGTTTTCTCTGTCTTGATGTTATATATGTATATTTTTAATGTGGATATTAGCCTATAGGCTACAACCATCAGACTAAATGGTGAATTTCAGTCAAAATGGTTTCTCGGTAGACAAACTGACGTTGTTTGATACACCCCGCAACAGGTTGTTAAACTTTCTCAATTAAACTTTTAAAACGTTTAGTTTATCAAAAAGTTTTACTTTTTGTTTTCTTTTTGTTTTAATTTTTCTTCATGACTGACTTAGTTATTTTTTATAGGCCCCAATTCCCTGACTCTAGCCTATTGCACATACACCATAATGCAAATGTGTATTTCAAATGCGTCACACTGGTGCCACGCATTTTAAATTTTTTAATTTTTTAATTTAACCAATAGACTATTTGCAAATTACATAAATAATTTCGGTCTAAAGTAATTTTTTCCGGATTACACACGATTAATATCTTTACAGTTTATTTTTTGTCGGGGAAAATAACTTAAATTAATTAATCAAACCGAAAATAAATTTGCGTTTAGCAAATTAAAATAGTTTGTGTTCAATTCTGTGGACAGTACTTTTATTCAGGTGGTACTATCAGTGTGTCGGACAATGGTTGAGTTTGTACTGCTAGATTTCTCGCTTTCAAAAAAAAAGTAATGACAGAAGACCATTATAAAACATTTTATTTGTTTCGGATCCGGTACATTGCACTGTTCATAGACAGATATAACGGACAGACTGTACAGTACAGGGTTGACACACACCTTCATCCAAACTATTAACACAGAGGATTGTCACTGATCCACGCGCCTCCTGTCACGCTCAGTTGTGGAAAAACGCATTGAGATCCTCATACTGCGCGCCACGATCATGGTGCAGGTGCACGTCGTGGAAAGGTGGAATGTTTTCCGCATGTGCACCACTGTTGCGCGCTCCAGATGACCCAAAGGATATGTTGTTCCTGGACGTGGTAAGTCCAGAGTAATGCATAGAATAATGGTAATTCCTGTCTGAGTCCGAAGACTCATGCTGCCGGCTCGCGCACACGGGGCTGTGCGCGGCCTCGTAGTCCGGGCTGCTGTACTCCGAGGCCTCATAGGCAGAGCTATAGCTTTGGGCGCGCAGGCTCAAGGGGCCCGCTCCAGGCTGGTAGTGTGGGCTGGAAAGTCGTGAGCATCGGTACGAGTACGGCACAGAGAAAGGCGAACCGGCCATGTGAAAGCGCGCACCGTCCGCGCACTGCTCCGTCAGGTAATTCCGGGTGTTGAGCTGCATGCAACCCGCGACCAAGTTTGTGGTGGGCTGAGACAGTCCTTTGCACAGCATTTGCACGTACGTCACCACGTCAGGTCGTTTACCATTGCGCAAGATCTCCCCCAGCGCCAGGATGTAGTTCTTGGCAAGACGCAAAGTCTCTATCTTTGACAGTTTCTGAGTTTTAGAATAACACGGGACGACTTTGCGCAGATTGTCCAAAGCTGAATTCAAGTCGTGCATGCGCGTGCGTTCCCGTGCGTTTGCCTTCATGCGTCTCACTTTGGACCGTTCCACGCGCTCCGCGGTCATCTTCCGTTTTTTAGGTCCGCGCTTCTTGGGTTTTCCGCCTAAACCGTCCTCGTCCCCACAGTCCTCTTCCTCAGCTTCCTCCTCTTCCTCCTCCTCCTCATCGTCTCCCGCGAGCTCAGACTCGGCCCTGCTGCTGCCCTCCTGAGCATCATCCAGGTCGTTCTCCATCAGTGCGCTCGTGTCGTGATCCTCTTCTTTCGCCTTCTCGTGCTCGTGCTCCTCTGCCCAGTCCGCCGCGAGCCGCTGAACGTCCGGCAGCACCTCGCTGAAGAGACGACTCAACATCGTGCAGCAGTCTGCAACAGACACAAGTGTAGGAGTCAAACACAGTCCTCTCCAAGAACATTCCTGCACTGTACCAGTCTGAACCAGGGCCTCACAGCTTTTCTTTTCCCTTAGTCAGTGTCAGTTTAAAATAATATTCAGGTTAAAACGCACATTTTAGATGTTTTTTTTTTTTTTTTTTTCAGTGATTGCCACTGTCACTATAATTATTGACAATGGTGCTATTCTAATGATTTCAAAATATCATGAGTGGCACCTCACTCATAAAAAGACAGTTTATTTAATGTGACTTTGGTATTAATTACAGTCAATCTAAAAATAAAGTATGATTATTTAATGGCACACAGCAACAGTGTGTGGCCCAGTCTGTCCCCTGCAGCGGTGCGGTGCACAGTCGTGGCCTCCTCTCGCGCCTCTTGGGACACATTACAGCAGCGTGTGGAGGTGCGCGAGCCCGGTCCTGTCCCAGATCATAAATTAGCTCTGCAAGGCACACTGTCAGGCCAGAGGCCACTATCTAGTTTACTGCAACATTATGAACTGGGTAAAACACAAAATCACAATATTTATCAGGGCAGTGGCAAAAATATTCAAAAAGGCCTCTACGACTGTTGGGTTTTAATCATAACTGAAATTGAAAGGTCGCATTAACGCACTTTATTGATGATAACCCTTGTGGCTGTATCTGGCAGCTTCGTTGTCCTGTCCATATTCTGTTAACAATTAGATAAACCTAGTTATTAAGCTTATACGAGCAATTCGAAGCCAATAAAATTTGTCATATGTCACACACTTCGCTGGTGTTCCACGCTCAGCTGTGCGTAAAGTGGCTATAGACATACTCCTCTTGATAATCTTGTAAACACAATGTAATTAATGCCAACCAATACCTTGTCAATTAGTGTCCTCTGAGGAGAACTCAACCCCCACTCGTGCGCGCACACATGGACGGTTATGGTATTGTGTTTCACGATTTTCATATTAAATGGATAATATTGTAATTCACAAAGCAGATTTACGCAGCGATCTGGGCATTTGCGTTAATCCTACTTTGGGGATTATTGTGGATTTTGCTAAAACAAAATCCTTTCAGAACACGAGTAGATAGATCTATATGCTCGGAAATAAAAATGGTATCGAAAACAGGTTCAATGTTTCCTTCAAAAACAATGAGAAAGCCAAACCTAAAAAGCTGTAAACATGCAAAACAAAGACAAAAACCTCCGGGCTTTATGCGTAACAGCAGTTATTGCATGCACGTACCTCCGCGGTGGTGGAACTCGTTGACGGGGTAAAAGCAGGTTTGTTTACACCATGTCTCTCCAGGTGGGCATCACATCCGCGCGCCTTGCGACAGGACAGGATCGTTGTATGTTGTCCTCTAAACACCTCTCCTCTCTGCGTCTGTTCCTGTGTCTGCGCCGCTGCCTGACTACTTCTGCTGCTGCAGCTCTCTCCAGCCCAGACGCGTGGAGGGAGCCGTGTGGCACCTCACAGACACGACTGGGTGGGTTACATACCAGCTCTTGATGCCAGGCCCATATGGCTGGCACGTCATTGGCAAGAGCCATCACATGAGAGCCCCGTGATTGACATGCGGCCGCATTCACAGAGACTGGCTTCCCCTGGGGGAGAAGGACTCGCCATCTGTCACTGTGCTGAAACAGAAAATGGAATAAGGAGTGAATGGCGCACGCACAAACGCACTGGATTGAAAACGTTTTATTGAGGGAAAGAGGGTTAATCCATATAGGAAGTTTGTCAGATAATCCTGCACAAGCAAATGATGTCACTTACGTATTATGTTTATAGGCTATTTTTCTTTGGAATTGGAGAACAATGCGTAAAGTATGATCAACAACAAAGAACTGCGGGAAATATATATTTTAATACTATATTATAATTACTAATATTATAAACATCCATTTGATAATGTAATTTATCTAATGTCAATTTTAACAAAGACCTGGCCCCAAAATACACAACCGTAAAGATCAGAGTCAGGGAGCAATTGCCTAAACGAGTCATTTGAAAGGGCTAAGCAGTGCGCCTGCACGGGCTGCCAGGCCTGGCACATGGGCCACTGGGCGACTGGTGGGCGTGATGGTGCCAAAGGTGGCACACGCACACGGAAGCCAAATGATGAGACAAGACAAGGAAGAGGCTCAGACTAATCAGTCTGTGAGGAGATGGTTGAAGGGGCGTTCAGGAAATTATTCAAAATGCAATATTGCAAGGATATTATTATTGTTGTTATTGGTAATGATGGTGGTAGAAGCATAGGTCTAAGTGTAGCGTTATGTTTTGTTTAGTTTTTATTATCACTTCTCTATTATTAATAATGACCTACCAGTAGGCCTAAGTGATGAGCGCCTAGAGTATTCTCCAGTTGGGTATGAGTGACATCTAGTGATCAGAATACGCCAGTACAGAAAGAATACACTCGAGTGAACTCATAGCACGGCCATTCTTTTTCAAGTTTCAATAATATGGCCTACCTCAATTATTGATGAATTTCAGCAAAGCTTTTACTACATCCCTGTTTTAAGGTGAAGGTGAACAGTGGCATAAAGGCCTATTGTACATGGGAACGCAAAGCTTTATGGTTGATAGCCTTACTTGGACACTAGTGACATCTGGTGGAGAGTCTGCGTTGCTGCAGTTTTTCATACATGTGCGAAGTGAATGCACTTGATGGTGACTGGACAGTTACTACAAAAGCAAAACATTTAAAAAAAAAGACTCACATAAACCATTGCTGAAGTTTTTTCTTGTTTTGACCCTGCGTATTTAGATAGTCAATGCGAATTTGAAACTCATCCATCTCAACACGTAGAAAATTAATTGTTATTTGGATTTAATCCGTTCTATTTTAAACCCCCTCATATCGCCCTAGGCCTGGATTCACAGAATGTCATTAGAAGTAGGTGCACACTTTTACGCACGAATCGCGCGCTCATCATGGTTATTGCTTTACCAGATCTCCATGTTTTCCACAATCCGTTTCCATGGCAATGCACTTCTCAACTCGAGGAGTGTCAGACAAAATTTCAGCGGACATATAATGGAGGGAAAGGCACCAAATGCCAATTTACATACCACTAACAGATTTTATAATGTTATTTTTCGGATAAACCTCGAAAATGACTATAGACTCCATTAGGTTTGAAAGTCCAGGATTATGGTCAAGGGAGGCGTATCTGAATAACGTTATCGAGATTGAAGTACCATAATCCCTAGCGCCACTGAACGCGCCACATATCTGCTGGTACGCGCTCCTGCCTACCTTCACTCTTTCCCCCCACAGCTCACACCGCTCCTCACTCCAACACTGGGGAGAACACAGGACATTTGATAGAAACAAAACCAAAATTCATACAAGTAGCTGTGCACTTACATGTCGCGTTAAATCACAGGTTGTTTTGGTACTTTTCATATCGGAACTTTCTGAGCTGTTGCCCCCTGGATGTGACCATGGACCCTCTGCTGCCCTTAAACCCGGAGCTCACCGACCCAGAGGCGGACCTGGAGGAGGAAGAGAGGAAGAAGATTCAGTTCTCTGTACCGTCCACTGTGACTCCTCAACTTGACCCTCGACAGGTGGAGATGGTGAGACGACAACATTGTAACATTTTCATCATTTCATTCATGTTTCGAGCAGAACATTCACGATTGTAAAACTGTAAAATCAGGGCTTCTTAGAAATAGTTAGTTAAACTTACCTTATCTGTCTGCTTAATATTTGAGTTTTGGATCCTCTACTTGAAAAAGTTGCCCAATTTAACAAATCATTTAGATTAGGGATACTTGCATGCCATGACGCTAGATGTTCCTGTAAAAAGGTAGAATCATGATTGTCAAAACCAAGTGCACATTATGACTTGGCGGTTCTCCTCTTGCTTATTTCTTTTGAATGTTACTGTCTGCCTACAGTGTCCCTCAGTATGGCATTAAATATTTCTATCTCCATGGAGACAAGCTGGTGACACTGCCAATCCAAGTTGCAGCTGAGATTTGTGGAGGGGGTGACCCTGCTTACAGCAAGAATGCATGATTTTCAAAAGTATTTTACAGCATTAAAAAAAACAAAAAACTTTATTGAGTACATGCAAGATAGATCAATTTAATTCCATTCTGTGGTACATTCCAGGATCCAGCATCACCACAGAAACAAGCAGGTGGCCAAAAAGTTACACAGTGCACCTTTTAATCCAAAACTGAATCATAAAAATTAGACCTGTAGTCATCAGAATAGCATTTTGGTATTTGCCATAGATAATTTTGGCCTACTTTGGTCTGTATATCATTATTGAAGTGGGTCACTCCAAATGACTGGGATTTACAGGGCACACACATCAGGGCATGAGTTTGACAGACTGTTACATAAGTGATGAAGTCTAGTACGACTTTGTGTGTAAATTTGCTTTCGAGCTCCAGGATTAACCCTAGCCCTGAGTCCCACTAGAGTCCTTTCAAATGTTTTGAAAAATGAACATTACCTACTTTCTTTGAGTGTCATTGGAACATGGAAAGGTTTTGTTATGAGTAATATACATGATAGCCTCTTACCTGTAGCCTTGTGTTAGTCACTTGTTGCAGGCGGTGAGTGTGTTATGTAAAATATGGACCCACATAAGAGGGAAAAAAATATTTATGTAAGTATGACTTGTCTTTTTAATCTTTGGAATGTTTACAATCTTTGTTTGTTCAATCTCTGAGTCAGAGATAGAGCTAAGCAGTGATAGACTTGTACCAGTGGATAATAACCTGTGCATAAAGCATGCATAAACAGTAGTAACATTACTAGCAGGACCATTACAACCACTTAAGATAACTACACTTTAAATAACATTAAGGTGATCAAAGACTTAATTCATGCTTCATTAAAGGTGCACTGTGCAAGCCTCCTGGTGGAGGTCCGCCACTTGCTTGTCTCCTTGGAGATGTTATTACTTTGCCTGGAATGTTCCATTTTATTAAGTTTTTTCCATCTAGCAGTTATTCATTATGGGTGTTTCTGTTGTGTTTCTAATAAGGATGACCCTCCACACATCTGAAATGTAATGTAGCATAGTGCTGTAACCTGCTTGTCTTGGGTTTAATCTATACTGTGGAACATTCTAAGTAATCGACAAAGTAATACATTTCCATGGAGACATTAAGTGGTGAACCCTCTTGCAGAAAATTTACACAATACACCTTTAAGGCTAATTAAGGTGTACTTATTATATACATACTTTTTTTGTTATCTTTCTACATTATGATAAGATTTGAGCTGTGGGAAGTTGAATAAACATAACTTCTGTGACTTATAAACAATACAAACTTACTGGGAAAATGTTTCATTCGGCTGTTTATTTCTTACAGCTCATGTTTTTTAATGGTATTATACATTTAGAATCATATTTTAGTGGACAGCCAATCTATATTATCGTATATCGTCTATATTTTCTTCAGCGATATATCGTACTTGAAAATTTGTGACAGGCCTAAGCAAATAACATTTGCAATTCTGTTGATAACTCATGGTGATCTTTGTTGTATTAGTTTCAGGAGGAGAAACTAACAAAGTAAAAGTAGCAAAGTACTGTACCTAAGTTTAAAATTTTGTTGTAGATTTTAAAGTGTATACTTCTCTACATTTGAGAGAAGCTATCTGTACTTTTATTCCATTACATATTTGAACAGGATGAAAAATAAAAGTATTTTTATTATAGTTTTAGACCTGCTGAAAAGGCTGAGGATTTATTTATGGTTTATTTTTAGCAGCTAGAAAAAAACAAAATTCATCTCAAATCTTTATCAAAATCAAATCTGAAAATCTGCAGAAAATACTTTAACTTCTGACATTTTTACTTTAATACTTAGATTTTTTCATTGGATTCTTTTACTTGAGTATTTCTTTGCTTTGGTAGCTGTCCTTTTACTAAAGTAACAGTATTGAGTACTTCTTCCACCCCTGATTGTTTTGACAGCCAACATTTTCTGATGTGCGTACAGCTTCACTCTCTTGTTCCTCTGGCCCACACAACTCCATTTTTGTATCTTGAGCTGAACAATCCTGAAGGAATCACAGCAATAACAAATGTGGTACTCTGTGACGTTGAGAGCTGGAATGCATTGTAAAGAGAGACAATAGCGGTTTTAACTTCAGCCTGAGAAACTCCATTAGACTTAGTGAACCTCTGGCCACAGTTCATCCTGGAAATGACCTCAAGTTTATGACCTGCTACGATGTCCCCTGAGAGGCCAGGTGTGTCGATGGAGCTGGCATTTCCTTCACATTTATTCAATTTCACACAACATCTGCTTCGAGATCATGTTTCTGTGTTGAAACAAATAAATCAATAAACGTCTAGCCACTTAAATATTTTTGGTACACATCTGCTGTTTACTCAAAACTGGATCTCGGGAGTTTGGCCCTATTTTTAGTTCACTACGTTTGTCTACTCATTTCTGAAATTATCTAGCATCTTTACAAATCAGGGCTGCAACTTTTACGATTATTTTAGCTGTCAACTAGTGAGCAAATGTGATTTCTCCACTATTCAAATTAATATTTCTATTGTACACTTTTTTACATTTTGAAATACATTTTTTACCAGATTAAAATTACTTTCTAATGACACAAAAATGTCAAACTTGATTTTGATATGAAGGAATAAACTTGATACTCAATACAGATTCTGATACTATAATGATCAGAAAAAAACACTTTCTTTAGGCAATAGAATGTCATTTTTAGCATTAAATCATAGTACTTTTCTTTTATATTACAATGAAAGAAAGTACTATGCCATACATCTATAATCCTTCAGTTGTCCAGGTATGTTCCATAGTGGTGCATAGTGGGTGTATTCTACTCTATGGTCTTATATTTATTCTGATACAACTCCAAAGCTCTAACTCTATTCAGGAAAGGTTGTGCATGGATTAGCAACAGATTTTCAATACTTCTGACAATCACAGAGTAAATATGGTAACTGAAAGATTCTAGATAGAGAATTTTTAAGATGAGTTAAGTTTAAATTGTAAACGTTTGTAAATATTACAAATGAATTGCTGATGAAAACCTGAAAAGTTTTATTCTTTTTGAGTTTTTAATTTAATAAAGCCACTGTCTTCAATATAAAACACTTTTGGACATGTGTTTGAGAGTCTGTATAGTCCAGTTAGCAATTATTAAAATATAATTAAGATGATTTTAATAGTTAACTAGTCACAGTTTTTCCAATTAATAGTTGCGGCCCTATTACAAATCATAATTCAGATCTGAGTGAGTCATTGCTAGCACACATGCTGGTGTTTGAAGACCTCTGTGTGTGTATGTACTACTTACAGGCTCACACATTCTGTAGAGCATAAGCTGACTCTCGTCTCCATAAGATGCATTGGCTTTTTACCAGCTCATCAGCAGATCACTGTGAAGCTCTATCTGTGGATGAAGTAAATATTCACCATTGCCTTATAATATATTCACATAGTTATGCCTGCTGCAGAAGAGACATTTTCAGGCATAATCAATGACTTTATACATTATGTTGTTGTCTTATGTGGCTCTGGCCAGTTTGTATTGTCTTTTTGTCGCTTTGCACCTTCTGAGTCAAATGTATGAAGTGAGATATATGGAATTATGTACAGTAACTGTAATATTTTTTAAAAGTTTTATATTCACATCCTCAAAACAGTAGCCTCCCTTTGCTTTGCTGTTTATTAGAAATATTTAACTTTCTTCTTTGTTATATAATTCTATATATCTTACTTTCATTTGAAAATATCGATATATCATATCGTTTAAAGTGATGATACAGTATCAATATCGTGGGCTGCTGTATCGATATATCACCAAGAGTATTTTTTGGTATATTTTACTAAATTATTTTGTTACAGTGCTACAGTTTTGTTGCTTGTTAAGAGGAAGGAAACTCATTTGTGCAACATACCACAACTACCTTTGACATTTTCACTGTTTTGAGGATTAAAATGCGTGTGTTTCATATGAACTTTGCACAAGAAGTGGTTTAACAAAGACTTTCAGTATCACAACCACAATTTAGCCTTGATTTTTTATTGAACGGTGTCAAATTGATTTGACATATATTATATTGAACTGAAAGTGCACTGTATCTAGCTATGTATCGTATTGTGGCCTATGTAGAGGTATGTATTCTACCGGCAACTTATTAATGATACTCAGCCCTAATGTTTGTATATAAAATGTAGAGAGTAGTGAAAAAAGGATTGTTAACAGTACAGAAGTAATCATTTGAAACAGTCTTGATTTCAATTATGAGCAAAATAATAATATTTTTTTATCATAACTGTAACTACATGTTTGATGTTGATAATAACAAGAAGGATGCGAACAGTGACTTTGTGATCGAGTTTGCTTTAGCACTCCATTCCCTTACTCTTACATTTCAGTGTTTTGATTATTATTCATTCATAAATTGTTGTTCTCTTCGGTTCTGCTTCCAACTTTCGTGACTTCTCTTAAAAACCATTACACGAACATGTTCTTGAATGATGTCACATGTGATCTCCAGCTGTGGGAATGCATAGTTTCACACGGTCACTTTAAGGCTCACTTTCACTTTTGCGTCAATGTA